CTCAAAAACCATCTTAAAATGATTTGATTGTTAATTTTGTTCTCAGCTGGAAATGTAACTTCCAAAGATATACAACATACTCGTGATGTTTCCACATTTTGTTAATAGATCTGCTTTGATTTCCTCGATTTCCTCACTGAGTCGCACACAATCCTTACCTTTTTCGATCAGTGCCGATGAGCTTCTGAAATGCGCTTTTCGTTAATCCAATGATGCGAATGAATCGGATCAAGTAAACACCAAGATCAAATCGTAGCAACTATCGTCTTCAAATTTCAATAGTTCCAAAATTTCAAAATAAACTCACTGTTCGAATTTCACTTTCAATTCATCATACTTTGCCTTGGTTAACGTTGAAAATTCACGTTCCTGTTTATTATCCTCAACCAACACGTTGTTTTCTTCGGTTAAATCAGCGAGACTGAAACAAACAAACAAAAAATTTCCTAAAAAATACACTTGAACTCGAGAAATTTCCAAAGTGTGCAAATGCATTACATCCACTAACTGAGCGATTTTCCGTCTCTGTTATAGCTAGCGCAAAACTGAAGAGATACAACCGGATAAGATAACGTGCGATCGCAGGTTCTAGTAGAGTAGAGCTGTCAAAGTTTCAGCTCAAGAAAGGCAATATTCGATAAAATATCTAGTTATATCTAAAATATCTAGTTATATCTTAGCCAAAATTATTTTCGCCATCTCATTAATGGACTGAAAAGTAAGCACGATATAATGTCTATGCGTGAAACTGCACTGAAAAATCATATGATAGCAACGGTACCCAGTTGATCTGCCTAAAGACATTTTGCCTAACGACAGTCTACCTAAAGACACATTGCCTAACGGACAGTTTGCCTAACTTACGGTTTTTAAATGGATATTTCACCGAAAGGCAAACTGTCCGTTCGGCTGACCGATCACGGATAGAGCAATAGATATGAAGGATAAACCGTTTTTTAGCATCATCCAAAGCCACCAGTTTCTCTTGCAGCTGCTGCTGAGCATACAATAAACTGCCATCTCGCTCCTTCACATCCGCATTGAGCTGCTCCAATCGTACACTTGTATCATCGATACGTCGCTCGTAATCCACTAACAGTTCCCGAAGTTTTGACACCTTGAAAATATCCACTTCAACTTCAGCTTGAACTGAACTTCTACATTTTTTCAAACTTCCATTTTCCCCTCAAAAACACTTCTCAATCCATCCAATCCATCTGAAATCCCAGCATTGTTGCTCAAATGACTACTGACCTAACCAGCCTCAAAGCTGCTTCAATGCCCAAGCCTTGTTCACGATACCATCGATTTGTGAAACAAACAAAAAAACAAATAAAAAACCTCAGCATCATTGTTTTGACTCGAATACAACGTCCTCAATCGTTCGCTTTGCCGCAACGACTCATCCTTCTTCATCAGCAGCTGCTCCAACTCCAATTCACGGTTCTGAAATCTCCCATCTTCATTTGCCAACTGATTCCTTTCCACTGCTCTTTGCAGAACTGGTTTTCCATTCCGAAACCATTCCAGGATTGAATTATCGATGAGAATTTGCCGATCAAAGTCTATGAATTTTGCAAGATGTACATTTACGGAGGAAATCCACAAACGTCTACGAGTAAAACAGATCTGGAACTAACCTTGAGCAATTGAATTTTC